CTTTTCTCATTAACTTTCCACATTTCCTGATGTGCTCTTTTAATAATCCTTTGCAGTTTTTTTCCCCCTTAGAATTCAAGTACACAGAACAAGTTTAATTTCTAGAAATTTATGTCTATATATTTACATAAACACTTAAGTATATATTTTTGTGTATGCAAACCTGCATGCATATTCCCAAAACATGTATTTTAGTTATTTTCTTTACTTTTTTTAATTTTTAAAAATGTTTATTTATTTTGAGAGAGAGAGACAGAGACAGAGCGCAAGCGGGGGAGGGGCAGAGAGAGGGGGAGACACAGAATCCGAAGCAGCCCCAGGCTCCAAGCTGTCAGCACAGAGCCCCATGCGGTGCTTGAACCCACAAACCCTGAGATCATGACCTGAGCCACCCTGGTGCCCCTAGTTGGTTTCTTCATTAAAGAGCATTGTTCCCTACATAATATCCTGGGACTTCTTTTTTACTTTCCGTGTTATTTTCTTAAGATTTATCTGGGCCTGCTGCATGTAACCGAGTTTATTTGCATTGTGGCCGCTGTAGATTGTTCTGGAGTGTGAATATACTAGTATGACTTTGCCTCTCGATGCAGAGGCTCTTGGCACCGTGTGCTCTTCCCCTTGGCCCGTCTCAGGTCTTAGGCAAACATGGGGTGGCCAGTTTTGTGAGCTCCCAACACTGACAATTCCCGATGCGAGCGTTAGGCCTTGGGTGTCTCTAGTTTCTGCTTCAGGCCCTTCTGTGCCACAAGAGCCTTCTCGGCAGCCCGGCAGGCACAGCCTGAAAGTGAGGAGAGCTAACCCTTGACCAAAGGGGGATGTGAGCCAAGAGATAAATGCCCCAGGCTCCCATCCTTCGGATGAACAATTCTGGGAGGCATTCTGTACACCTCTCAGAGGCGTCCGTGGAATGCCCCGTGTCAGCCTCCCTTCCTGCTCTGCCTCACCCTTCTCTCCTTCCCTCCCGAGGCCCGAGATCACTTCCCAGATAAACAACCTGCACCCGAGTCCTCGACCCCATCTTTGCTTTTGAGGAACTCAAGCTAATACAACCAATGCTCTGATCATGGACGTTCGCGTTGTTGCAGGTTTTTGCTTTCGCAAAAGTGCTGCCAAGAAGATGTGTGTGAAACCCACGGGTGCACAAGTGCAGGAACTTCTCTTGTGTATTTATGTAAAGTAGAAATGCTGGGTCAAAGGCTAAAGTCAACTTTCAACTCTGCAGTTTCAATTCCAAACTGTTTACCAAAGTGCTTTTACCGATTCACAGTTTCAGCGTCATCTATGGGAGCCCATTGTTCCCCCACATCCTCGCCAACACTTGGGATTGTCAGATTTCTTAATCTTCACCACCCGAGTGGATATCAAATGGAATCGCATTGCGGTCTCAATTTTTACTTCTTGACGATTCATGAGATTGAACCTGTCTTCATATATTTATTGACATAAATGTTTCATCTTCCGGGAAATGTCTATTGTGCCCACTTTTCTACTGGTTGATTGTCCCTTCCTCCTTAATTTTACTAATTCTTTTTTTGTTTTGTTTGTTTTTATCTGCTGACTTAATCTCTACCCCCAACGTGGGACTCGAACTCACAATCCTGAGATCAAGAGCCACACTTGCCACAGGCTGAGCCAGCCAGGTGCCCCTAATTTTACTAATTCTTGGACACAGTTCCCCCCCCCTTGGCACTCAGGTGCTCCTAATTGAATTAATCATAGTCTTTACCTGATAAGACCTTTTTCCTGGTTACAAAATTAAGGCATGCTTGTTGGAAAAGAAACATGTAAAGAATACAGACACGTTGAGCTTAGAGAAAGTCTGCTTTGTATTGGCTCCACCCCACCTCTAAGTGGGAATAACTCCCACAAATGTGTCATCCCTTATTTTGGGGACTTTGTTTTCACATATGTCTCCCAAACTAGACAGTTTCCCACAAGTAAGGACTCTGTTGTAGTCATCCCTGTATTCTCAGCCCCAGGCAAAGTCCTGGCTTAGCTCAGGAATGTAAC